GGTGCTGGTGCTGGTGCTGGTGGTGGTGCTGGTGCTGGTGCTGGTGGTGCTGGTGCTGGTGCTGGTGCTGGTGCTGGTGCTGGTGCTGGTGCTGGTGCTGGTGCTGGTGCTGGTGCTGGTGCTGGTGCTGTGCTGGCGGTGGTGGAGGTGGTGGTGGTGGTGGTGGTGGTGGTGGTGGTGGTGGTGGTGGTGGTGGTGGTGGTGGGTGGTGGTGCGGCGCGGTGGTGGCGGGCGGATGGGCGCGCGAGAAAGAGGCCCGCGCTGGGGCGAGAACGCCATCCTGAACGACGGAGGCCAAACACCGATCCGAAAATGAGGCCCACGCTGCAGCGGGAGCACGATTCGGAACGATTCGGGAGCAGAAATGAGGCCGGCGCCTCAGCGAGAGCAGCATTTTAGAAAAAAACACAAGCGAAAACCCAACTCCGGGGAATCCTGTGTGTAAAAAAACAGTACGCGGGGGGGTGCCGAATATCTTCCGGACGCCATCAGGGGAAGTGGGAGAGTATTTTCATATTGTGTAATTGTGGAGGAGGAGGAGGAGGAGGAGGAGGAGCAGGGGCTGAAGGCGTCCCCCGCAAGCCTCGAACCTCAGGAACAGGCACTTGCCTAAACCCTAAGCGCAAAGCCTGTCGGAGCTTCGCGAAAATTTCTTGGAGCTGCGCCAGGCTACCCAGGGATTTTCAGGACGAGAGGGCGAGCATGACCACGGGCGCAGGCGCGGCGCGGTTGGCTTGCGGAGCGCGGGAGGGGGCACCTCATCCTGCCCGATCCTCCTTCCCGATCCTCGATCCTCCTCCATGATGCGTTGAGCAAACATCAGCTGCAGGGTTCTTGCATCTCTGTGGGGAGCACCACGTGGCCGACCTGGGCGATGTGGCCAGCACGCAGAAGCCGAGCGGCGTGCACCTGGAACAGGCGTGGCGATGAGAAAAAACTAGCACAGGAGCCCGATAGGGCGTGGAGCACGCACGCATCCAAGGCGGTGGCGGGAGGCGACCGAGCCGCATCCGAGAACGAAGCCTGAACCCCCGAAATTCAGGAGGACCGCGGCAGAGTGAGGCAGATCGAATGGCTAGAGGCCTCCTAGATGGGGTCCGAGCAGATGGGGTCTGAGGATCGCGCCGCATCGTCGATGCATCAGCGAAACATCGCCGATGCATCGGCGATGCATTGGCGATGAATCGGCGACGCCTGCGATGCATCGACGCCATCCGCGTGGCGAAAATCGGGCCCCACATCGAGCCGCATCGCTGATGCATCGCCGACGCATCGCCGATGAGGCGCGATCCTCCGGCCATCTCTGCCCAGACCCCATCTGGGAGGCCTGTCGAGTGACTGGTCGAACAACACACCCAGCAGTAGGCATCGCGGCACGGCAGTCCACCCCGGCCGGCCCGCGGAGCCTCGAGGCTCGAGCCTCCCCCATCCTCCAGCTGCTCCTCCCACGGCGCTCCTCCTGCCGCGGCCTGGGCCTCCTGGGATCTCGACGCCCTCCCGGGCGCTGGCCTCTTCCAGGTGGCCCTGGCGACGGCCCCGGGGCCGCGAGGCGGCCTCTGCCCTCTGGGGAGCCCGCCGCCTCAGCACGGACAAGCCCGGGAGCCGTGAGCCCGGCGCGAGCGGGCGCCCTGGCGACGGCCCCGGGGCCGCGACACGGCCTCTGCCCTCTGGGGAGCCCGCCGTCTCAGCACGGACAAGCCCGGGAGCCGTGAGCCCGGCGCGAGCGGGCGCCGGCTCCACCCCAGGCACGAAGCAGGCACCACCCCAGGCACGAGGCCAGCGCCGCCTGGCTTGGCGACGGAGCGCGCCGGCTCCACACGCCTGCGGCACCCGCCGCGCATCCACTGGGGGGAGGGTGGGGTTCACTTCGCTCGGGAGCTCACGAAGGAAGTGAACCCCCCCCTCCCCCTCAGAAATCGTGGGGGGCAGGGGTAGGGTTCGCCTGTACCCCCCTATCCACACGCCTCAATCCACGCCTGCGCCTCATCGGCTGTTACCCCCCTCGCCGGAGCACCTCTCGTCCACGCCGCCGGGCGGCGGCAGTCATGCCCCTCCTTGGGCGGCCAGCACCCGCAGGCTGCTCCTGCGGAGCAACCTCTCGGAGCAGAGAACTAGACAAGCGCGTTCCACGACTCGCACAGTAACTGCTCGCGAATGGAATGGATCTGCCGCAGGGTATCCACGATCCATCACATCGAAGCAATCATGTGTTTTGTCTCTAGCGTTTGCGAGTAGGCACTTTGCGAGTAGTGGTGGAACGCGCTCGGTGAAGCAAGTTGAGGCACAGGCAGCTCTAAGTCGCCGAGCAGGCACCACTGACGTAACACACCGACCCGCACGCTCCAGGCACAAAACGCACGTCGGGCAGCCGGCGCTCCTGCAGCACTCCCGTCCTCCAGAGCACCCTTTTCTTCCTTCTCCTCCTCCTCCTCCTCCTCCTGCTTCTCCTCCTTCTCCTCCTTCTCCTCCTGCTGTTCCTCACTCCCACCCACCCCTGCACTCTCCCCCCCCCGCTTCTAGCTCCTCCTCCTCTTTTTCCTCCTCCTCCTTCTCCTCCTCCTCGTTCCCTCCCCTCCGCCTCGCCCCGCCGCTTCCCGCTTCCTCCTGCACTCCACCCGCCCTTTTTTTCCCACCCCCCTCCTCCAGCCCTCCTCCTCCACCCCCTCCTCCCCACCAACCCCCCTCCCCCTCATCCGCCTCAACCCCACCCTCCTCCCCTCCCGCTCCTCCCTATCCCCCTCCCCCTCCCGCTCCTGCGACTCCCCCTCTCCTCCTCCTCCTCCTTCTCCTCGCTCCTCCTCCGCTTCCTTCACCTCTCCTCCCCCTGCTCCTCCCCCTGCTCCTCCTCCTGCTCCTCCTCCTCCTCCTCCTCCTCCTCCTCCACCTCCTCTTCGGACGACGACCGAGACGACGACAACGACGGCAGCAGCGGCGGCGGCGACGAGGACGACCACCACCACGACGATGGCGACGACGACGACGAAGCGCGCGCGTGGTCGCACGGCGGCCTGCCGAGCGCAGCCGCGGGGCTGACGCGCGGGGGCGCCGCGGGCACCGCTGGCGAAGCACCGCAGGCCGCCCTGCCGCCGCCCGCCGCCGCCGCCGCCGCCCCGTCGTCGCCGCCCCGCCTCGCCTCGGGGGGCCCCCGGGTGCGATCAGAACACGAAAAGCAAACGCCATAAACCTAGGCTTTTGGCGCTCCCCGCGGATGACCTGAATCCGCGCCGGACCCTGCTCCCTGGCGCACGGAGCGTGCCAGGGGTGCCGCCGGAGGCGCCGCAGGGGGGGGGGGGGCCCGCGCGGATCCAAGAACTCCGCGCAGAGCGCAACAGCTTATGCTTTGGGCGTGTGCTTCTGCGAGCGGTGACAGTCTGGGCGGTGGCATCGGGATCTCCGAAGGCTTCCCCTCAGACCTGGGCGATGCAGCTGTTCCACACCGGGCCCGAGGCCATGGCAGATCGATGCGGCTGGCACCATACAGACAGACAAGCAGGGTCGATGCCTCGCGACGTCATTACGTGTCTGCTGCGACGCCGAGTCCCAACGAATTCTAAAACACCTCACCGCCAGATCCGTCACCGCACGGTCATGGCACCCTGGAGGCCCCAACCGCCCAAGACGTCCCCAGAGATCGGCCCGAGTCCCAGAGCCGTGCGGCCACCGCGAGTCTCCACTCGATCACCACACGGCCTCGCCGTCGCTCGGACGCCCATTTCCCGTGCATTTGTCGGTTTCGTGCGCGTTTTTTTTTGCTCGTTGGTCGAGGATGGTCCTCGATGGTTCTCGCCGAGAAACAAATGCACACGTCCAAGCGATGCCAGGCGGTGTGGTCACCGCACCGTTCGGGGGGCCCCGAGCGTCGTCGTCGTCGTCGTCGGCGCTGCCGCCGCGGTGGAGAGGTGGAGCGGTGCGGCCCGAACGCGAGCGCCGGCGGCGGCCGACGGAAGTGAGAGAGGGAAGGAGGAAAGGAGCAGCATCAACAGCTGCATGAACATTAGGAGGCAACTACTGGGAGGTCTTCGTCGGAAGGATTAAGGAGAATTAAGCCCCAATGGGGCGCTGTTACGCCAGATTGGGCCTCGCGTTAGGCGGGATTAAGCAAGATTAGGCGGGAGTAAGCCGGATTGAGCCGGATTAACCGGGATGAAGCCAGACTAAGCCGGATTGAGCCGGATTTCCGACCAGGACGAAACTAGAATTTGACCTCCCAAGAGTTGCACCCATGTAAACATAACAACTTTCGGAGGTCGCCAACCTCAATGCTCCAACAACCATCCCACCCGCCAACCCACCACGTCTTGGCAAAACTCAACTGTTGCAACGACGCGAATACCCTGTTATTCCGATCCGTGACTCGGGCGTGAGACCGTCATTATCAGTTGTCTACCGCTCAGCGGTTTTTTTTTTTCTGAAGTCTTCCTGAATCAGCCTCTGTTACTTCTGCTGCCACGACTACGCTTCCTACTAGCACTGCCGCCACTCCGACTGCTACTGCAGCTGCTCCTACTCCTATTACAACTGCCACCACCATGCCGATGGTACTACCGTTGCAACAAACCACCACAGCCACTACTACTTTGACTACGACCACGACATCTATTACAGTCATCTTCCTGTCACAGGGAACGAGGAGTCAAAGACGCGGGAGCTCAACTAGAGAGCCTTGGCCGCGGCCGACCTGGCTATGAGGAGCGGTCTGGAAACCAGAGTAACTCCAGAGACTAACGTGGTTCCCATTCCCATATGGAAAAAAACTGAAAGGGCCCTGGGACACACAAATAAGTAGACACTGATAACAAGATTCTCCATATTGTCCCATATCTGCTGGGTGTTGTTCTTCCCCCGCACTTCCCATACTTTTCCATCTTTTCCTGGGGATCGACGATTAATTGTGTCTGTGCGTTTTTCCCCCTCCTGAAAAACGTGATCACAACAATCTTTCGGTATCCGCGTGGAGTTCCTGGCGCACGGAGCACACGGACGACCCTCCCAGGCGCGCGCCGCCGGGGGGGCCAGGCGCCGATGCAAGAGATCCTTCGGCTGCTGTTGTCCTCTGGTTCGGACAACTTACTTCTGGTTTTCCCACCCCCCCGGCCCATCCGCCGCCATTGCAATGCGTGGAAGCAGGCCCCGCCTTGCGTGGAGTCTAAGTTTCCCTTCGGGCATCGCCACGCCCCCCTCCCGCCAAGCCTCCTGCCCTCCGTGAAGGTAGACCTGCCAGAACCAGGGAAAACAAGGGCTCGTGAGGACCCATGAGAGCTTACGTTTGTGCAGACGTGTCTCCTTCGAGTCCAGTAAGCATAACGTAGTCCCCACTCCAAACCTGACGTCGTGATAAGACGAAGCCAGGACGAGAATAAATATGGACGAACATCAATCGAAATCTCTGAGACGCGGTAAATTTGGAAGATGTCTCGGGCGCCGCGGCCTTCTCAGAGCGTTTCGGAACGGATCTATCCTGGTCCCCGTCCGACGCGATGTGTCTTACGATGTGCAACCCCCGATGCCTCGACGCACTCCCGGGGATGGGCTCACACTCCTGATTTCCTCTTCGGCGGTCCTGGGGCCCGGCGGGGGCCGCCAGATGCCGAAGGTTGCACCCAAAACGGGCCCCCTGGGCGGGACACCGACCAAAGCGTCCTCCGTCCAACGTCCTCACTGTGCTCCCCCTCGGCGGCGCGCACAGGGGGGGTGGGGGGAAGGGGGAAGGCTTCCCAGGAGGCTGCTTCTTTGGAAGGCGGAAGCCTCACATTTACAGACAAGGTCCGCCTCCTTCTATGGAGCAGGGGTTCTTCTGAAAAGCACCCCCCACTCCCCTTCACCCCCTTGTGCGCGTGGCCGCCTCTGAAAGACCCTCAGGCTTCTCAGCAGGCCGCCCCCCTCGCGCCACCCCGTTGCGCGAGCCGCCACGGCCAGACGGAGCTCGCCGAGAGAGAGCGACGACTGTTTGTTGCGGCTCCGCGGTGCACAACGACCTAACCAGATTACGTTTGGGATCTCGGGCCTCGTCATCTAGGCATACAAAAGATCACGCCCCCTTTGTGTGCACCGCCGACAACGTCCTCACCGGCGAAGGAGGCAGGAGGAAAAGGAGGAGGAGGAGCAGGATGGGGAGCAGCAAAAAGAAGAGGAGGAAGAGGAAACAGACGAAGGGAGGAGGTGGAAGAGGAGATGGAGGAGGGGAAGGGGGAGGGTGAGGAGGTGAGGAGGAGGAGGAGGAGGAGGAGGAGGAGGAGGGATGGATGGACAGCGCCTTGAAAGGTCGGGGGGCGACAACCCCAAAAGCTTTAGGGGGATCGACCCGATTTAAATCGCCCTGGAGGCGACTGCCTCCTCCTTAGCTTCGATCCTGGCGACAAGGGCCGCCATTCGCTGCTCGAGAGCGGGGGCCGAGGGAGAGTCCGAAAACGCTCGCGGCACTGAGGTATTGCACATATCGGGTTTATCATCCGCCTCTCTAGCAACGTTGAGCTGGGACACAGGCAGCGCCTTTTTCCAGCACAGCTCTGACCTTGGGGTCGGGGCCGAACCCACGCCGAAAACGGCTAAGGACATCCACTCCCTTGCGCGACGGCTTGGCGCAGACCTCAGCGAGCTTCACGGCCCTCCTTTGCGTCCAGCCCCCGCATTTTAAACGCAGAATCTGCTGCTCGCGGCAGGGGCCCAGGACCGCAGCCGACCTAGGCGTTTCCAGAACCGCGCCCGACACGGCGACGAGCTGGTGCCCGAGGGGATCACGCAGCAGCTTCTGGAGAGCAGGAGGCGGGCCCTTGCAACCTAGCGTGGGCCTGTCGGGTCGAGCACACACCACCCAACAAAAACTACACTGCACTCCCAGTTCAGATCTCCTCCAGAGGTGCCAAGTCTTCTGCTGGCGACTGCTCCCCTGGGTTGTGAACGCCGCTCGCCTCCAACGCGCTCCATTATTGAAGAGGGGTAAGACTTCGGCAGCAAGCTGGACAAAAAACGTCGGCACGGTTCTGAAACAACTCAACACGGTCCAAAACTTGGGCGCGGGCCGACGATGGCCCTCAAGGGCCTTCTTGGCGTGCTCATCCACGGCTCTATTCGCAAGACCAAACCTGCGATCATCTCCTTCCAACCCCTCAAGGGCAGACAACTCTCGATGAGCCTTTACATGGAAGGTCGACAGAAACTCCGCGCCAGCTGGCTCATGAGCACAACGCCTCCCACCTGCATGTTTATTGGATCCCATAAACTGTTTCCAGGGCGGCCTCTGGGCCTGACAAATCACAGCTTTACAATCAAGAGCCAGCGAAGTGGGTCTATCTGCAACCTGTCCTACCAAGGCCGCCCCCGCATGCTCAACCATTGCACGGGTTTGGGGCAGACCGCCATGAACAATACCCCGCAAGACAGCAAGGAGGGATTCGCTGCCAGGCCCCAAGAGGGCGATCGCCCACGAAGCGCGATGGAGGCAGCGGAGGGCCTGCTTGGTGCAGCTGCCGTCGGACGCCATCTCGAGCTCCACCACTTCTCCTGCTAGCTTCGCAAGATCCTCAGGTTGCATGTTCAAATCGATTCCTGCACCGTCTAGAATCTCACAGTTTGCATGGGAGGCTGGAAAGGGGGCACATCATCATCCGAAAACAAAAACAAACCACGAGTGAAGACAGGGTCGTCACTGTGTGACCCCTCCTCAAAAATTTCAGACGGGATCTCAAGGGCCTGTCGGGCCTCGACAACCTCAGGACGCGTGCAGGTGTATAATATATGGTGCAACGTGTCACGTTGTCCCACGTGCACATGCCATCAATGAGGTATCCTGCATCGCGCGCGCGTGCCTCGGTCCAAATCACATCCGTGGCGCATGGCAAAAGAAGGAGCTGCTGCTGGCGAGTGTGGTTCTTATTACGCGTGCGCATGCAGTTACGAACAATATCAAAGGTGGCTCGCATACCTTGCGCGTGCCCGAGCCTGTTCGCAAAACGAAACTCAGCCTCTCTCTGGAGACCTGCTCTGAGAAGATCAAGGAAGAGGCGAGGTGGGGTCTTGCTTATATCTACCATGCAGCCCAAATGGTCGATCCACTGCGTTCCTGACACCACTTTCCATCCAGCACGTCGTGCCGACAAGGTAGCTCGAGCAAGAGGGCCACGGCTGGACTTCCAATCTCCAGCAAGGCTGGCCTTAGCCTGCTCCCAGAGCTGAAGCAACTCCTGGAAAGGTATCCAGGAGCGAGTGGGACGGACCTGGGCATTCCAAAGCATACGACACCATTGCAGGGCGGGACCAACTGCTGCTCTAGTGTCCCACTCCCCGTGCAAAACAAGTTTAGCCGTCGCGCGGGTTCCTCCATGAGACGGCGGCAGCCTACGAGCCTGGGTCCTTCGCACAGTGTTGAGCTCAGCATCCGAGAAACCCAAAACCTCAGACCCGGAGGAGGATGAGGAGGAGGAGGAGGAGGAGGAGGAGGAAAAGGAGGAGGAGAGGAGGAGGAGGAGGAGGAGGAGGAGGAGGAGGAGGAGGAGGAGGTGCGCAGGAGGGAGAGGAGAGGGGGGGACCCTCCCCCAATGCCCCGCTGGCGCGCGCCACCGACAACGTCCTCACCGTGCTCGCCCCGCCCTCCCCCCCCCCTCCGCTCCTGCAGCGCCGCCGCGGCACACGGGAGCCCGCAGCAGGCAAGCAGTGCGGCGGCTCCTCTGCAGCGGCAGGGGGAAGGGCGCCAAAGGCCACGGGAGGAGACGGAGCTCCTCCTCCTCGTCCTCCTGCAACTCCTCCTGCTCCTCCTCCTCCTCCTCCGCCTCCTCCTCCTCCTCCTCCTCCTCCTGCTCTCCTCCTCCTCTTCCTCCTCCTCCTCCTCCCCTCCTCTCTCACTCCTCCTCCTCCTCTCCTCCTATCCTCCTCCCTCCTGTTCCTCCTCCTCCTCTCTCTTCCCCCTCCCCATCCTCCTCCTCGTCCTCCACCTCCTCTTCTTCTTCCTCCTCTTCCTCCTCCTCCTCCTCCTCCTCCTCCTCCTCCGCCTCCTTCTCCTCCTCCTCTTCCTCCTCCTCTTCCTGCTCCTCCTCCTTCTCCTCCTCCTCCGAAGAAGTCCTAGCCGAAAGCGCCATTCCACAAAAAAAAAACTCGGGCGGCAGCCCACGACGGGCGGGCGATCCTCTGACGGATGGGTCGGGCGGGTGGGACATTCAAGCGGGATGCCTGAGTAGGGCGAGAGCGCGATTCCTAAGTAAGTGTGACGGCGTCCTTGGCGCGAGAGTGGTGCCTGAGCGTAGATAGCACGATTGCTGAATAAACTGCGAAAAAGTTACAGGCGAAAGCGCAATTCCTGAAAAGGGGATGTCTGGCGGGAGCGGGGGTCTAGACTAATGCGCAAGGAAATCTTAAGCGGGAGCGCCATTTTCGAGAAAATTGTGAGGAAGCCTCAGACGGGAGGGGGGGTCCCGACTAAATTGCGAGGAAATCAGAGGCGGGAGCGCCGATCCTGAGTAAATTGGGAGGAAGTCTCAGGCGGGAGTGGGTGTCCTGAGTAAACTTGGAGGAAGGCTCATGCGGGAGCCGTTGTTGTTGTAGTCTGGGGGATCAACAATACAGTTTGACCCGGACTAAATTGTGAGGACGTCTCAAGCGGAGCGCCATTCCTGAGTAAAGTGTGAGGAAGTCTCGGACGGGAGGGGGGGGTCCTGAGTAAATTTGGAGGAAGTCTCAGGCGAGAGCCGTTGTTGTTGTAGTCCGGGGGGCCAGGGGCCCAGTTTGACCACCAAGACTTTCCCTGTCAAAAAAAGGGTGCGAGCGTCGAGGGGCACACTTTGGCGGAGAAAAAACAATACAATCTGCACCGGTGATGGGGGGATCAACAAGACGTATTTCTCAAAAATGAGAATTCGACAACTCACGAGGCCGAAGCTCTGGGGAGATGCCGTCTGGCCTGGGGCCCTCTCTGGAGAAATCCGAGGGGGGCACCGCGACCCCTTCGGTCGGCGGCGGGCGAGGGGTGGGGGGGGGGAAAGGGGAAGGAGGAGGACAACTCGGAAGGCGGCGGGACTTCTCAGAAGCCCTCGCGCCCTCTCCGAGGTTACTCCAGATTTCGTAATAAAAGGGAGGGGGTCTGGACCCTCCACAGAGACAAAGAGGAGCGGAGGCACAACTCCACCGCCCCCACCGAAAAAGAGGGGGCAAAGGCAAGACGGCAACTGAGCCGACCTGGAGAAGGCCTTCTCGGAAGCCGGCGGGACTTCTCGGACGCGCTCGCGCCCTCTCAGAGGTTTCCCGCGTCTAGGGGGAAGCCTTAGGACACTTAGCATATCAGAAGGCCAGGGGACTCCCGAGCTTATAGAGAGGGTTCGCCCCGTCTCACTTCCCCCAGGTTCGCTGCCGATTCTTGGCTGTATCCGACCGCAGTGTCAGAAGGCTGAATGCTCATTCTCGGGACCTTCCTAGAGACACTCGCAGCGTCGACCGTCCGTCGACTGGAGCCGACCCTGAGTCGAACCCGAGTCGAACCTGCGTCGACCTTGAGTCGAACTTGAGTCGGACTTGACTTGAACTGGGGTCGAACTGGAGTCCAGCAGAGCTGTGAGGTGGGCCCCGGGATAATCCCCCAATTGTAAACCTCCCCTCAGTGAGAACGGCCCAAGACCGAAACCGACGGACCCGGACCCGCAGAAATGACGGCCGCGCCGCCCCCTCGCGAACCGAACACGGCCGATTCGCTACTCGACGCGCCAGGGCAGGAGGTCTCTCCATCCCCGACGTCTAAAGAAGGAGGAGGGACGCAGGCCTTGCTCCAAGCGCCCTCGCCTCCTCCTTCTCCGCCTGGCCGCCTCCGGGGCCACCATGCCGCGGGCGGGGCGGGCGCGCCCTGGGCACCGGGGCAGGGGAGGCGGCGGAGGCTCCGAGGTGCCACCGCACCGAGGTGCAAGTCGGAGCAGGGCGGGTCGGGACAGCTGTGGACGCCCGACACTTCCTCCTCCCCCTCGTCCTCCTCCTCCTCCCTGGTCTCCTCCTCCTCCTCCTCCTCCTCCTCCTCCCCCTCCTCCTCCTCCCTGTCCTCCTCCTCCTCTTTCTTCCCTCCTCCTCCTCCTCCTCCTCCTCCTCCTCCGTCCTCCTCCCTCCTCCTCCTCCTCTCTCCTCCTCCTCCTCCTCCTCCCTCCTCCTCCTCCTCCTCTCCTCCTCCTCCTCCTCCTCCTCCTCCTCCTCCTCCTCTCCCTGGTCCCTTGGTGACTCCGCGTCTCTGCTCAAGACGTTGCACTGGTGCGCATATGATGGAGGCACGCTGCAGAGCACAGTCTGCAGTGCCCCGGCTCCCCGCAGGCCTCTCTTGCTCCAGGCCTCCGTGGGGAGGCTCAAGAATCACGCTTGCTACAATGGAGACCCATGCCAAGAAACACCCGGCTTGCCTCCAGGGTGCCCTGGGTTCCTTGGGTGTCGATGGTTTTGCGATCGAGAACGTAACGCTCCCACACCAAAAATCACTGGAGGTCCTGGGATCTCAGGATTGGGTGTCTTGTGGAAAATTTCTTGTGGACGGGCCTCCGCTGTACGGAATGAATGGGTACAATGCCCAACATCAAATGTTGTCCAAACCCGACAGCGGCCGCTCTTGGGCAGGCTGCTTCGTCATCAGAGAGCAGCGTCCACGGCGGCGCGGACAGCAAGTCCTGTTCAAAATAAACGGGAACTGCTGTTGGGCATCGTACCCTTTCTTCCTTCCTTGCTGTACCCAATTTCTGGTTGACCCAAAAGGGGGTCCAGCTGAAAGGGGGTGCTGCAAGAGATGTGAGCCAATTGTCTTGCAAATGAACTGCGCCAGAAAGTTGCATTACATTGTATTGCAACTAATGCGCTGCACGCGAAAGTCCAGCAATACACTTGCGCACCTGAACACAATGCACGCCCCAAACTTGCTGCACGCCCCCACACACATCACATCTACTGCACCAAATCTATACACATATATATATATATATATATGTATTGCACCACCCCCTTGCAGCTGGCCCCTCCTGTGGGTCAAGCAGACCATTCCGATTGCCCCGAACAACGGCGACTCCAAATGAGCCCCAGGGGCCCCTCCCGGGGCCGAAAAGCTCGGCGGTGGACAAACCTCCCTCTAGTAAACCTCCATTTTGAGGGAAACGGCCCAGGACCGAAACCGACGGACCTGGACCCGCAGAAATGACGGCCGCGACGCCCCCTCGCGAACCGAAAACGGCCAATTCGCCCATCGACGTGCCAGGGCAGGATATCTATCCACCTTCGAAAAAGCACAATTGCAAGCGTTCCGAGCTGCGCGGGGCTGCACGTGGGCCAGGCAAACGGGGGGCGGCCCGCCGATGCTGGGGGGGGGCGGCTGGAGAAGATGAAAGGGGGGAGGGGGGCCAAGGGAAGGCCCCCTCCTCCTCCTCCCCCTCCTCCTCCCCCTCCTCCTCCTCCGCCTCCTCCGCCTCCTCCTCCTCCGCCTCCTCCTCCTCCGCCCCCTCCGAGCCCCTTCGGCCCCAAGGAGCTCGGGGCCCCTCGCCGGGGCCGAAGAGCACCCTCACCAGCGCTCCGAGCTGCGTCCGGGGCCGTGGCCGCGAGGGGGCCCCCCCGAGGCCAGGCGCCGGCCCGGCCGCCTCGCCTCTCGGGTCGGGCGGAAAAGGGGGGGGAATAGCAAAGGGGGGGGTTTGAGAATCAGCTCGCGTCGCTGATTTTCCCGGCGCCTCCCGGCGCCGGAGGCGACCATGTGTCGAGGAATGGGCCCAGCGGCGGGGCCGAAACCAGCTGCATGCAGCAGATTTCGTAACCCCCCTTTCCCAATCCCCCCCTTTCGCCCGTCCCGAGCCTCGCGTCGCCCCCCCCCCCCCCGGCGGGGGGGGGGGGGGCTCGCCGGGGCCCTCTGGGGACCTCCCACGGAACGGCTGGGGAAGTGGAGCCGGCCCAGGGGAAAAGGTGGATGGATGGCTTGAGTGGCAGAAGAGAAAACGCCATAAACATAAACTTATGGCGCTCCGCGCGGAGCGCCAAAAAGTTCATGTCAATGGCGTTGTTGTTTCTTTTTCGAGGGAAGTGGAGCCGGCCCAGGGGAAAAGGTGGATGGATGGCTTGAGTGGCAGAAGAGAAAACGCCATAAACATAAACTTATGGCGCTCCGCGCGGAGCGCCAAAAAGTTCATGTCAATGGCGTTGTTGTTTCTTTTTCGAGGGAAGTGGAGCCGGCCCAGGGGAAAAGGTGGATGGATGGCTTGAGTGGCAGAAGAGAAAACGCCATAAACATAAACTTATGGCGCTCCGCGCGGAGCGCCAAAAAGTTCATGTCAATGGCGTTGTTGTTTCTTTTTCGAGGGAAGTGGAGCCGGCCCAGGGGAAAAGGTGGATGGATGGCTTGAGTGGCAGAAGAGAAAACGCCATAAACATAAACTTATGGCGCTCCGCGCGGAGCGCCAAAAAATTCATGTCAATGGCGTTGTTGTTCTGTCTTCGAGGGAGGGGAGCCCGCCCTGGGGAAAAGCTGGATGGATGGCTTGAGTGGCATAAACATCAACTTACGGCGCTCCGCGCGGATTTCTCGGATCCGCGCCGAACCCACCGCTCCGGCGCGCGGAGCGCGCCAGGGGCGGCGCCAGAAACGCCGCCGCGGGGGCCCAGTGCGGATCCAAGAAATCCGCGCGGAGCGCCAGAAAGTTTATCAGAATGGCGTTTTTTCTTCATCGAGGAAGGGGAGCCAGCCCTGGGGAAAGGATGGATGGATGGCTTGAGTAGGTGGTGGCCTCCTAGATGGGGTCGGAGTAGATGCGGTCGGAAGATCGCGCAGCATCGCAGATACATCGGCGATACATCTCCGATGCATCGGCAATGCACCTGCGACGTCGGCGCTGCATCGGCACCATCGGCGTGAAGAATTCGGGCTCCGCATCGAGCCGCATCGCCGATGCATCGGCGATGCAGCCCGATCCTCCGACCCCATCTACTCCGACCCCATCTGGGAGGCCAAGAAGTAGGGCTGGGGGGTCAGGTCTGCAGAACACCCCAAACGGACGTCAAAAGGCACAACCGAGCTGTTCGGTCAATGCGAAGCTAATGCACCGCACCCGGCGTCAAGCCAAGACTTGGACTTGAACAAATGGTTTGATGTTGCACTTCTTCGACTTCTAACCCTCGAACCTATTCAATGGATGGCCGCATGCTAAGACGCATTCGTCTAAGGCTGATGCTGAGCAATCGAATGTATGGTCGCTTTAGATGCAAGCCATGACGGCTGGCCACAACCAGCGCCCAAAAAATGAATCGAATAGGGCAGGGCTGTGTAGTAAACGCCCAAAACCGTTTGGTGAACGCCAATTGTCCGGTCCGGATGGTTTCCTCCCGCGGCGGCGTGTGATTGATGTTCCCCCCTGGCATCTCTCTGCGGCCCCAGGGCCCCCGACCACTTCCCGATCCTTGTTCGATGGCCCTGGGGTGAGGTCGGGCATGTCCTCCTACAGGCTGATGTTGAACTGAAAATAAAACTTTGGGCCACGAGATGTGCGAGGGGTGTCCCGAAATGGGTGCGGCGAACGCATGTGGACGGGGACCACGGAAAGTCTGAGGGGTGTGCCGAAATGGATGTGACGGACGCATATGGACGGGACATGGAGCCTTCGGTGGAGCTCCCTGCGGGGCCACGAAACGCGCGAGGGGTGTCCTGGAATAAGTGCGGCGGACGCATGTGGGCGGTGCCACTGGGGCCTTCGGTGGAGCTCCCTGCGGAGCCACGAAAAATATGAGGATGTAATGAAATGGGTGAAACGGACGCATGTGGACGGTGCCACTGGGACCTTCGGTGGGGCTCCCTGTGGGGCCACGAGACGTGCAAGAGGTGTGCCCGCACAGCAGCTCATGCCAGCGAAGTAGCTGGCGAAAAACATACGCGGCCTGACCGAGTGACCGCCGAGGCTCCGAGGCAAAACCTCCGCACTGCCACGCGGGTGCCGCGAAACTTTCACTGTGCTCAGCAACTGTGCAAGAAGGGCGATGAGGCATAGATGGAAAGGGAGGTCAAGGGAGAAGCTAAGGGATATATCGGCACTTGGCGTGACCGAACCACTGCTCTTGTTTTGGCGTGGCCTGGAGAGTGGTCGCCGCGCGTGCCGATGCAACTACTTTTAGCTAGTCCATACTAGACCTGCCTGTCCTAACTACCTACACCGAACTAGTGATTGTGGTCGTACGCTGTGATATTCGCTAGCATGTGCTCGATTCTAGAGGGCTTCGCCTCGTGCTCCCGCTCGCCACTCTCGTAGACCATCCACGAATCCAGCACACGGAGCCGCTGCGGTCGATAGTAGCAACACCAAGACGCAGACCGTCTGCAGGAACTCTTTGTTCAAGACGACGCCTCTGCAGACCTGGATGCCCCAACCGCTCCCTCCGTTTGCCCGCTCCAACATGGACTCCACTGCCTGCACCTGAGCGTGGAGCTCCGGGGCCTTGAATCGCACCTCTCCGAGGCCGTCGACGAGACTGGCACGGGCTGCCGACAGACGCAGAGGCCCCGTTGCGATGACGAATACTTCCACAATACTTCAGCACGAAGCGCTACTCCTCCTTGGGCATTTCGGAGGTAAGTATTCAGCTCAACGGCTGTCGGGTTGCGAAGTGACCCACGGCATACTGTGTAGATGTCAGTGCAACTGACCAGCATTTTCACCATGAGGCAAAACAATGTTAAACCTAATGGGGCTAGCTGAGGTCCCGTATTATTCACCAACTCTGCTGCCTGTGCATGAACCTTGAGCCAAATTGGCTACAGCAATGGGGTGTGCCGAAATGGGTGTGGTGGACGCATGTGGACGGTCCCTCTGGGGCCTTCGGTGGGGCT